GACTCTGCTACTAATATTATCCACATTCCAATATATTTTAGAGCATCACCTGTATCATCACAATGTTTTCCATGTTCAATACATAATATATATTTTTGGCCTTTATCTGATCTTTTATACAAATATCCATCCTGTTGTTGAAAGCATTTTGAGCAGATATAACGTGAACGATAGCCTGATGATGATTTTTTCGCAATAGATCCTTTAGCAAATACAAGACAGTTATGAACACCAATACAAGGTACTTGAATATTACGTTTATTAATACTCTATAAATATTTTTCACAGTTGCTACCACGGCTAAAGAAACTTTTTTTTTATTACAGAAAATACAGAAACGAAAATGGACAATACTCTGCTCAATTGAACATGATTTTTTCATGCCTTTATCATGAAGTTGATTCTGATCAAAAAGAAATGATTATAACATATTCCAAGCTGATGAAGATCACTCTTAATATTTTTAACTGCATCTATATCTATCTCCCATATCCCTATCATTTGCTCTAATCGTCGAAGGTTTGTTGTACTATCACAACGTTTTATTTCACCTTGAATAACATCTACAACTACACATGGCATTAGGGTCAGACTTTGCACAAAGGTCTTTTCAATTTTTATATCTATGTCATCATTTATTGTTTGAAAGGAATTATTATAGTCATAATTTTTAGGTCCTTCAAATTCAATCTCACTCCAATCCACATCGTCATTTTCATCACTATTTAATAGGGCTCGAGCACTTGCAAGAGCAATTTGATCAATATCATTTTCATTTATTTCTTCAGGAATGCTAGTATTGTATTCCTCAAAATCTATAAGAGTAATTTCTGAATCACACATTTTTGTTTTGAATTATTCAAGATTTATGAATTTATTATAATAATATATAACAAATAATACAAGAAGAATTTAGAAGAGAGTTAGCATCTTTATTAACGTTCAAGGAAGGGCAAGCAAAAAGCTAAGTATATTTATCTGTTATACTATCTGCTATTTAAAATTTATTTATTTTTAACAGCTAATGACCTTCTCATTAAAAATATCAGTGATAGGCAAAGCTGATCTGAAGGTTGCCGAAATGACACAAAATGCAACAATATTAGATATCTGTTAATTGTTGAATTGATGACATAAGGTTCAATTCAACAATATCAAATTATCGGTACTAACTGCTAATTCTCATCAAGTTCCATATCTGAACCCGGTTTACCAGCTGAAATTCCATATTTGATATTACTAATTGATGTTAAATTCCTAGGACATTGATCTTCTGAACCCGGTTTACTAGTTAAATTTCATGGAAAAAATCATAATAGATTCGGCTTAGTAATCTATTAGCTCATAATACACATACAAACAAAGTATAGATTTTTATTGTGAAGAACAAAAAAGGGGTGAAACATTATTTTTATTTTTATTTATGACTTTAACAAATTACATCACTAATTTATGCTATTATTTTTATTATAGAATTGGTTCTTGAATTGGGTAATGGCTTATTTCTAAGATCCGGTAATTCCAAGTTATCTTAAGACTATATAATAAATTAGTTGGCTAAATGGTTAATCATATAATAATTTGTTTCATCTAACATTAATTTCCTATAATTGATACTTACCTTGTCAATAAAAATATTTTCCTTTATATTCATATTAATCTGAAGAAATTTCTTAAATTTGGTGTCAACTTATCAATTGTACTTTCAACTTAAATTATACAATGGACTAGACAAATGCGGTTTTTCAGAAGAAATCAATAAGCGAAGGTATAATATGAGTATAAATGTTCAAAGAAAGCCATTAAAGAGTAATAAAAACTATATATTATAGGGTTAGAACACAAACTTATAGCAAAAATTCTCTTTAAACTAAAAAACAATGAAAGTTGTGACTTTTGCAATATAATAAAAAAATGTCACAAATATATTTTTATTAGATATTAATGGACAATCAGTTTCACAAACATGCGATCATCATAGAAAAAACCTTTTATGAACGAAAAATTTTCATATAAAATTTAAGTGATCGACATTTAAATTACCCTATAAATAACATTTTGAACCCGTATACTGGGACATGTCCCATGACTGATATGTTGGAAAATTGGTTTGGTTGTTAAGCTGAAATTATTACTTAATATTAGTCATTTGGAAAAACTAATTTTGTTTTATTACGCAATAACTTTATTTTTTGTATTGTATTCGCAAGAGACAATGCATTCATTTATTATGGTTCTTTGCTTTATCGAACAATCTAATATTATTTATGCAAAATTATCTTATTTCAGATTAATCACCAGCAGCATAACCTTTGCATCATAATTTCGTCGCGTTAAAATCTCTCTCAATGTTTCCTCTAATTCCTCTTTATGACCAACGATGTTGATATAATTATTTACCGTGTAATGGAACATTAATTGTTGTCGAATCTCCAAAAGACTCATAAATTGAACTTTTGATGGATCAACTTTCATTCCTTCTTTATGTTTAACACAATAGATTTCATATCGTCTTTTAAGATATTTGCGACATGATGAAGGAATAGAAATTTGTGATAGGTCAGTGCTTTGTGTCTCGGAAATTAATTTACGAATTCCATCCATGGAAATCGAAGTTTTGTTTAGAAGCAACACTTCTAATTTTTCGAAAAGAACGAGAATAGAAATGGAATCATCATCAATCTTCTTATTTCCAGTGATATTCAAAAAGGTCAAATTACTTTTTAGTGCTACGAGATGACATAATGCTTCGTTCCCAATTCCGGTACTTTCAATGACCAATTCATCCAAATTTTTAAGTCCTCGAAGGTTGTTAAAATAAGAATCTTCAATCGGCATGAAGCTCAACTTAAAAGATTTTAAGTATTGGAAACCATTTGGCAAGCCAAACACAGATAACAATCGATTAGTATTTTGTATAATGTGAAGTTCCAAGCTATCATCAATAACGAATGTCTTATTGGTGATATCACGCTTAAGATTTTCGAAGGTATAGGTCAGGTCTAATGACGTGACCGCCTCCACGGCACGGAATTCTTTAAGAACTTCATAATTCAAGAGTCCTATATCATCAAAAGATTTAATTAAATGTATGTATTTTTTCGTCAACATTAATTCTATAATCTAAACAAATACCTGACTCTTCAAGCCATACATAAATCTTATTAAGCGCAGGTAATTCACAATCAACCAAAGTTTCTTCTTTGAATCTGTTAACGACTTCTTGACCTATAACATTGATCAATCGTCTCAATAACTTGTTGATAGACTTGTGGTTACCATCGAAGTAAATAGGCCCGTATAAGTCATTCTTGTAATCTAGAGCCATATCTTTAAGATTTATTATTAAAAATAATATATATTTATATATTTATATACGAATGTTAGGATAAAATACTCACATTTAGTTCTTTTAAGTGTCTTTTCCGCTTCCTGACATGATTTCTGAATTTCTTCTCTCAGTTTCTGATTTTCATCTATTTGTCTTCTTAATTCGGCTTCAAGTTGTTCGATTTTGTACTCATTCTCATTATAAGCGATTTGAGATCCGTTAATGGACATAAATTTGGTAGTACTTGACTTTTTGTTACTCTCGAATTGTTGTGGAAAATAAGGTGTCAAATTCTCCTTGTTATTAAAAGGTTTACCAGGAGTATTACAAAGGATATTCGAAGTTCCGGCTTTTGAAGGGCGCGCATTTGACAACATATTAAAAGGTATTATTTCTATTTCGTCACCGAGGGTACGTTTGTTACTTTTACGCGAAGCTGAATTGATATGAACTTTAGAAGGTGTATTTGAGGTATTCATCTTTAAACAGGATTGGTTGTAATGGATAGCGAAGCGAAGCATAGGACTTTATAACTTTATATGTGAAAAATAATTAGTATTACGTTGTCACGTCGCGTCAATTCTGATTGGATAATTGGATATATCAATAATATTATTAAAACGGTTTCGTTTAATAAAGCATTTTGTATCGCGCGTTTATAAAATGTGATAATAATTGCTTCTAATTCTGGTAGAAATTATTTAAATTTTAAATAATTCGCAAAAAAAAAAAAAAAAATTTAAATTTGCAGAATATATGGAAGGTTTGCTAGGAAAATGGGGCTCTGAGTAATTTTTATTAAAATTTTATTTTTTTTTGCATTTTAATGTTTGATAATGTTAGATTAAAATGCAATAAAAAATTAAAATTTTAATAAAAAATGCTCAGAGCCCCATTTTCCTAGCAAACCTCCTATATCTTTTAAAACAAATAATTTTTGAATAAACTAAAAGGTTGATCATTATATATATAATTAAATTATTAATATAAGAATTTGAAATATCTAAATTTGTTTATTAAATAATCATAATTAAATTCTAATTATTTTAATTAATTAATTTTATCAATGAAATTTCTATTTAATTTAGTTAATCTATAAGTTAGGTTGGAAAGTATAGTGTTAGTATAATGATTAATATATTAGTATAGTTATTATATTATAATAATTAATATAAAAATTAGTATAAGTATAGTATTAATTTTATCTAGTATATCTAGTACATAAAAAATTTCTAATTCTATTTTTAAGTATTTGTAATTAATTTATTGTTAAATTATTTTATTAATTATATTACAATAATTTATTACATTATACTAATTATACTAGAATTCTAAATAGATCAGGTTAGGTCAGATAATTGACTTGACCTAATATAAAGTCAGGTAAGATCAAATATAAAATTGACTTAAATTAAATATACATTTGATCTGATCTGATTTGACTTGTCTAAAAAATAAATTTTTTTAGTTTTATTAGTTTAATAATATTTATATTTAAATATAAAAGTAATATAATTAATAAGAAAATAAACAATTATTAATTTTGTTTAATATTTTTTTAAAAAAAATATTGATAAATTTTTAAATTTTATTATTATTTTAAAAAAAAATTACTAATATAATAATATTTTAATTGCAAAATTTAAAATTACAAGTTGCAATAAATCTGCAAATCAGGTGATTACTAATACAATTACAAAAAATATTTATAACTTTATAATTAATTCAATCATAATAAATTTTATATGCACATAATTTTGAATCTGCTAAATCTGCTAAATAATATTATTACATAATCAAAGTCAACTTCATTTAACTAAAATACTTAAATTGCTTTTGAATTCATTAAATAAATAATAAAAAATAATTTTGTGAAATAATACAATTATGAAAACATTTATAATTTTATAACCATTAGTCCAATCAGAATAAATATTTATATATATTTTTTTTCAAACCTACTGAGCAATTTTACTTACTTGATAAAAGTTAATTTCTTTTAATCATAGTATTCAAATACTTCTTTGAAATATTTGAATAGATAAAAAAAATTAAAATAATTTGTTGGTTAATATAATTGTAAAAAATGTTTATAATTTAAAATTTAACTTTTTGATTATAATAAATTATAAAATAATTATACAAATAACTTTATTAGAATATAAAAAGAAAGTATATTAAATAAATTTAAAGATGTTTTAAAAAAATATAGATCAAAAAAAATTTTTCAAATATTTTATTTAGTTTAATTTGATTGGTTGACTTAAATTTTATCAATCCGAATTAGATTCAGATCCTAATTTGGATTTAATCTGATTTATTAGATCCAGATTGGATTCAAATTCAAATTTGATTAAAATTTAACAGATTTAGATTTAATCTGTCAAATTCACATTTGAATTCAGATCTAATCTGTCAGATTTAAAATAATATTATTTTTTAATAATATAATTCACCTTAAAAATCAGAGGTAGTGTTTTTTATTAAAAAAATAATACAATCTTATTTTTTAATAATGTAATCTATCCCGAAAGTCAGACATAACATTTATTATTAAAAATAAGAAAACTTATTTTTTTAATAATGTAATCTGTCTCAAAAGTCAAAAGCAGTTTTTATTATTAAAAAAATAAGAAAAACTTATTTATTAAAAAAAATATGAAATCTTATTTTTTTAATAATACAATCTGTCTCAAAAGTCAGAGACAACTTTTATTATTAAAAAAAAATGTGAAAATCTTATTTTTTAATAATATAATCTACCCCAAAAGTTAGAAGCAGCATTTATTATTAAAAAAATATGTAAATCTTATTTTTTTAATGATGCAATCCATCCTGAAAATCAGAAGCAACTTTTATTATTGAAAAACTTATTTTTTTAATAGTGCAATCTGCTTAAAAATCAGAAGCGTCTTTATTATTAAAAAAATAAGAAAAACTTATTTTTTTAATAGTACAATCTACCCTAAAAGTCAGACACAGCTTTTATTATTAAAAAATAAAAGAAAAACTTATTTTTTTAATAGTGCAATCTGTCCTGAAAATTAGAGTCAACTTTTATTATTAAAAAAATAAGTTTTCTTATTTTTTTATAATGCAATCTGCCTGAAAGTTAGAGTCAGCTTTTGTTATTAAAAAGTAAGTTTTTCTTATTTTTTTTAATAATAAATGTTGCTTTTGACTTTTAGGGTAGATTATATTATTAATAAAATAAGAAAACTTATTTTTAATAATAAATGCTGTGTCTGACTTTCAGGGCAAATTACACTATTAAAAAATAAGATTGTATTATTTTTAATAATAAAAGTTGATACTAGTGATACCTGATGAAATTACCTTTCTTAATATGATAAAATTGACAAAACCAAATGACGAAACTAGTTTTTTATTAATGATGAAATTATTTTACTTAATTGCTGAAATTATATTTAATTTGATCTAAATTTCTTGAATTAAAATACATTAAAAAATATAATAATTTTATATTTATTTATATAAAAATATTAAAGAGATAGAACTTTTGATGAAATTACAATTTTTCAAAAAAGAGTTTAGTCAGGTATTATTAGTCAATACTAACTTTTGGGGTGGATTACAGTATTAAAAAATATTTTCTTATTTGTTTAATAATAAATGCCGCTTTCAACTTTCAAGGTGGTAGCACTATTAAAAAATAAAATTTTCTTTTTTTTTTAATAACTCTAACTTTCAGGGCAGATTGCACCATTAAAAAAGTTATTTTTTTAATAATAAATAGGATTCCTCAAAATCAAATCAAATCAAATATTTAAGCAATTTGAATTTGATTTGATTTTTTCAAATTGAATCAAATTGAACTCAAATATTTGATCGAATCAATTTGAATCAATTTGAATTTAAATGATTCGAATCAAATCAAATCAGACTGAATTGATCAAATCAAATTGAATCGAATATAATTTTTTTTTTAATTTTTATAATAATATATTAAAATAAAGATATTTTAAAGTTTTAATTAAGAAAATTATTAGTAATTATACTAAAAAATTTCAAAGATAGCTTTTACAAAATAAGTTTAGTAACAGGTAAATTTTTACTATTAAACTTAGTAAAATAATTCTGCAGTTTCAGTTTACTAAGAAAACTTAGTAATAACTGGACATTTGGCTCCCATCAAAATTCCAACATGAATCGACAGCGGCTTCTTCAGCTTTAGTCGAAACAATAACTATCAATGAATTCAATGATTTACAAAACGCTATCAATTTGTCTCATTCTCTGATTAATAAATATAGTAATTTAACAATGTATTTCTTATATTTTTATATAGAAAATCAAAAGCTGAAGGAGCAACTCAATGATTTTCACAAAATAATTGAGCAACTCAAGCGAAAAAATTCTGATCTCTCCTGCAAAAATAAATGATTAGAATCTGAAAACTGATTCCTTGCTGAAATTAATGACGAATTCGACAGGGAAAATGACGATTTGCAAAAGAGATAAAATTTTATTTGAGAATATTTATTTTAATAATTTTCTTACCTTGATCGATTTGCGAAAATTCGGCTGCCCAAATCGATGAGACAGCTGAAAGACGGTTCCAGCGATAAGCCTTCTGCTAAACGACGAAAAGCGAAAGGCAAGAAGCCAGTCCATTGTACCAATGATGAGATAGATTACGAATCAATAAAAATCGTCTTTGAGGACAATAGCAATTCATTAGTAGAAAAGTCCAACGCAAAAGTAGCCAGAGTATATTTGAATTTTGTTGATTGTTTTGATATTCTAAATTACAAACTGATTTTTTTTTTGATTTTTATATTTAGCCTAAAATGAAAGCGATTTTAAAAACCATCGATTTGAAATGGGATTTAGACTCTGATGAAACTTTTAATAGCAAAAAAAATATTGAAAAGCGACTGAGTCTAATCCTGGAATTATGAAAGGCCTTAGCTTTGAATTTTTGACCTTCTATTAACCAATTGACAACCTGGCTTTGAAGCCTTCATAAATCTTAACGATCGACTCGACGATACAAGTAAAGTGAAAGGCCGTCATAGAATAATGATAATTACATGCAAATAGTCAAATACACAAAGTTAGTGAATTCCAATTTTAATCTGAATTTTGATCTATTAAGTTTATTTAATTTTTAATTTATTATTTCTAGAAAAAATTACGATGAGTAAAGAATGCTAGACAATTATTTACGAACAATGACGTACGAATTATGAAATACGAAAAGTGGTCTTTATTGAAAATGCTGGCTGATCGTCTCTACCATTCTTCCGAAATAAGCGAGACAGATGAAGATGACCCAGAACGAAAGTCTGTCATCACTATATATGATCTCTTATGGTGATCGGTCGAGGTTTACTATTTTTTTTAAAAAAAATCTCATTTATAAATTTTAGTAAATTACTAAACATTTTTTTATTATTTCAGGTAAAAAATCTCCTTCGTAATGTATTCGATCGAAATGCTGCAACCTAAGTCACTTTGGCAAGAGCACAAAGAAATTGAATATATGATGATGAGATGCAATATTTTGACTGGCCGCATCCTTCAAACGCTTCCAAATAGTCTTGAATTGAATAAATGAACATATTCTTCGACACCGACGTCAAAAAATCGGGTGAAGAAGAATATGTTATAGATAACAAAGAATTTGTTAAAGTTGAAAGGAGCAAATATCAGCAGCCAGTAGCAATGAACAATATGATTCTGACCATCTTGAAATGGATGATTAATGGCGACAACTATCTTGAGATGGTAAATTCGATGACGACGCGATAATTTTTAATATTTTTTTTTCTTTTGCTTATTTTTTTTATTTTGTAAATGAGTGGTCAGGTGGTATATTTTAAGTTTTTTATTTGCTTTTTTTTCGCATTTTGTTTTATTTTTTTATAAATGAAAGGGCGGGTGGGATATTTTAAGTTTTTTTGCTTATTTGCTAGTTTTTTTAGTTTTAAATCGAAGGTGATTGAATAATGACAATGATGATGATGATTTATCGATTACAATGATAATTTTTTCTTTTTTTTTTTTTAGTAATTTGCTTATTTTTAGTAGTATTTTCCATTTGCTTGTCGCATAATAAATAAAATTAATAAAATTAATAAAAAATATTATTTTCCGAAATTGTAAAATGAAATAAATGTAATAAATTTTCGGCTAAAAATCAGACGGATGATTGATGAATGATTGATGGCTTGTTTTAGGCAGATTTAGATGGACAATTGATGGAGATTGATGACTGATTGATATTTTCAATTGACTCATGTTGTGTCAATCAAAATTAATATAAATCACCCCTAAATCAGCTATCAATCATCTATCAATCATCTGTCTGATTTTTAGCCGATTTGTATCCATTTTGACCAATGTATTACTCATTAAATATTTTGTGGATACTGAAAAAAAGAACTACCTCGCTAGTTATATTTTATTATATTTGTCACTATTAATTAAACTTATAAGTATTATATATAATATTAAAATGATCATTAGTATTTGGCCACTTATCTGAGGTTAGCTATTAGCGATCAAATGCTTACTAAATACTAATACAATTAACTCTCTCTATAACGAACCGACAGTTCCATTTAAAAAAAAAGTTAAAATTTAAAAAATTTTGAGTTCGTTATATCCAGAGTTCGCTATAAAGAGGTTCATATTATAAACAGTTTTGACTATACTTATCTATTTATTTTTATTAATAAAATATTAGTCATTTTGTTCATAGATAATACTATCTATCACCTTTATTTATAATCCCTTCATTTCATTAAAAAGAAAAAATATTTTAATTATATGATCCTTCGTCAATACGATGAGTAAAAGTTTTTCTTTTTTGAGCTAATTTAATATATACGAATCATTTCAAAAAATGAATATCTATGAAAAAACTTTGAATAAATCAAAATAATTTTGAGGACTAAGGATTTAAATTTTAAAAAGAATTATTGGTTTGTATACTGAATATTTAGAAATGATACACTTGCTTTAGCAATAGACTGAAGAAGGATAAGTGGATCTTTGTCATTTTTTTTATACAGAAAAATTTCAAAAATTAACCGTCAAAAACTGAAATTTCAATATCATTTGACTTATTATATATTTCTTTTATTTTCATATTCGAATATAGCTCATAATTTACTATTATTTTATTGATCAGAAATTGGTAAAGAATAGTCACCAAAAATGCAAATATTTGAATATAAACTTACAATAAAATCCAAGATTATTCACAAAATTTATATGATACTTATAAGTGTTACAAGTTGATAAAGCCAATAATTGCTATTTTTTATTTTATATTTAAAAATATAAAAATTGTTGACATAATACTAACGCTAAGTTTAGTGATAATTAGTATAAGTCAAATACTCGCGTAAGAATGAACACATCAAAAAATATTACATATTTAAAGCAAAATGACAAGTTATTTTCACAGTATTCATACATTACATATGATAACAATATAGTTTCTGCAATATTTTCAAAATACACCAAGTATAAAAGGTTTGACCTAAATAAGTTAAAATTTTTTTAAAAAAATTTCTTAATATATTTCATAATATAATATATATATAACGATTTGAATTTTTTGTTTACTTACAGCGGTAAGCATAGAAGTTGAATAGGATAATAGACATATTATATCAAATGGCACAATATATTGATTTACGTCTTTTTCAAGGATTGAAGTTTCTATATCTTTCACAAAATTATTATTTCTCAAAGCCTATCTAATCGAAGTGTAGAACATAATCCAATGCATGATAAATTAGTACTTGCAAAGCATATCAACAATATAACCCTAAATAACAAATAAATTTGATAAATAATTATTATATATAGGTGATTGGTTAATTATTTAACTTACTTTTTATACTTTCATCCTTGGTAAATTTATATTCATTTACCATAAGCTAAATTCTAAATAATATTCAGGTTAGATCATAAGTATCAGTTACGGTTATTATATATTTTATTATTTACTTTCTTGACCGTAACTTATACATTAAGATAAATACTTAAAAAACAATTAAGAACAAAAGCAGTATTACTGATATCATGAAATAAAATGGATTTTCTAAATAACATTCTTCTGAAAGATCGTTACAAGCGTTAATTTGAATTATAAATATATATATACCGGTATATATTGGCAACATTTGCATATTTAACAACACTAATCCGTGAAGAATGGTTCATTTCATAAACTAAATGCGATTAAATGAATCATAAAATAGTTAGTATGATTTTGAGATTTCATTTGAGATTTTATGTTGCAATGTTGAATTTAAAAATGTTTTACAGTTATAAATGGGAATAATAATAATACAAGTGTTAAGCTGTTTACTAAAAAGAATCCTGTTGAAAGTAAAAAGCAGAAAAATAAAATAAAGTATCCAGATATATATATTATGTATGTGTTTAGAAAATTTCTCTCTATACGATCGATTAATAAGTTTTTTTGATTATTAAAATTTTTTTCACCTTAACATGGTATATTTATTGATAATTTTTTTATTATTTTGTTATATAAAAAAAGACAACTATGTTTTAATCATCTTTGTTTATAACTCACAAAGCAATTCTTTGACATATGGGAATTGATCTATTAAAAATGGGTTACGGGACTAGTAAATTGATAAAAAATTGCACTAAAAATAATATTGAGTCTAATCAATTCATAAGGCGATACTTTAATTTTATATATATAACATTTTATTATAATAATTATTTTTACAAATATTATATTATTTTAAAAATAATGAAACTATAAATTATCTAAAATTTTGCTATTAAATCCGCCATGTCAAAAATATTGTTACATCAATTTCGTAACACTTGAGATTTTTGAGATTTTGTTATTAATACCATACTCCGAAGCATTTTTATAAAATCTAATTTTAGATATTTGATTGACATTACACAGAAATTTAAGCATTTTTGCCGGCCAAATTACTTGTTTTATTAATAAGCTAATAGTTTCTAAAAATTTAACCAAATAAAGTTTATTTAATATACTATAATATGAATCAAAAATCTCGTTTTTTGTTGAATCTTTTTATATTAAAAAAATTTCATAGATATTTTAAAGTTCATCTTTTTATTAAACCTTTTCAAATACTAGCATTTACACATAAATTAAGATATAAGTGACGGCAACTGTTTTAGAGAGGAATGACATTATTCTTAATTTAATATGCACAGAAAACCAAGTTGTGTTCGTCTTTGTGCTGCTAGTAACCTATTCGGCGTGGTTAGGAACTTTAGCGGGCCACTTTGGTGTCCCCCGAAATGGGGTGGCAGGGTGCTGGAACTCCCCTTACCATATCACTCTTAGGAATTTAAATTAGATTTTACCTCAATTCCTGTTCTTGTTCATATTTTCGCTTATTACTTCGTAATAATTAATAAACATTAGCCTAGTATTATTTTTTATATATATATTCTTGTTGACTAACTTTTTTTTTCAATTTTAGTTATTCTTAAAGCATTTTCCAAGCAAAAATTTAAAGGCTTGTTTTATAAAGTTTTTCAAACTTGGTAAGTTTTAATTTATTTTTTTTGGCAATTAATCTGGGAAATTATTACGAGCTTGGAATCGAAATCCTACGCAAGCGGAAATTCCCAATGCTAATTAATAAATTTAGGAGAAAGGCGTAAGTTAATAAAGTATATTGCTTTCTATATAAAAACCAAATCGTAGAAGAAACCGTTGAGGTATCGAGGTTTGATGCGGTATTAATTTTGGGCGGGTACCTTCGGATGAGAAGTATGGACGGATAATTTAGGAGAAAACTTTATGTTAAAATAATTGATAAATAAAAAGTATATAAAGAAAATTTTCGATCTCTTTTGTCTAGAATAATTATCAGCTTTTTTTTTAATTTATTTATTTTTTTGATCGCATTTTTTTTGTTTAAAAACTAAATTTTGCTGAATTACAACATAACGATGAACATTATTAAAACCTAAATTAATAAGATCTGTAACTTGAACGCAGCAAATTAATAAAACAATAAAACCAAAGATAACTTTTCATTCCCGAAAAGAATGTTACGAGTATAGCAAGTAATTAAATCAATGTCGAGTACTGCGGTATTTACAATAAGCAATTTAATTAGCCCCAAATTTTGTTTATCAGACATGTGAGTTGTTGACTTTTTAAAAGACTACTATAAAATCTAACATAAAAAATAATTTCACTACCGTAAAAATATATATTCACGATTCACTGTATTCCGCTTTTCACAGTTTTAATAATATAAATTTATCCTCCATAGTTCTCTACTTTAGTACATCACGTAATAAAAAATTCATAATCTAAATTCGGCAATGATAATAATGTTTCGAACATATCTAGATAAGATTAAACCAAAAGATACTTTGGACGAAATTTTGCAAGAACTATGAGAAAATTTTGAAGGTTATAGGTTTTATTATTTTATTTTAAAAATAAAGAAAACGATAAGAAAAAAAATGAAATCAAAGTTCGGATTCAGGTTTAAAATAATAAGTAAATTAAATCAACAACCGTTCAGTTCTTTGGAAAAAATTTAGCCCAAAGATCGAACGATAAAATAAAATTTAAGTGAATTAACGGCTTCCAAACTCTTTCCCCTCTTCTCTGCGTATTCTCCATTAAATCTTTAAAATATTATCCCAGCATTAAAGAAATTATCTTTGCGAGGTCGTTCCTTTAATACATTAACTCTTAAGTTCTGACTCCCTTACTCGTTTAATAATACTTAGATTACAAAACTAGCTTTATTTTTTATCATTCTAATAGACAACCGGACTGCTTTTTCTCGTTACTGAAATTTATTTAGATTGCTCTTCCCATATTTTTTTACGTCTTTGTCAATGTATTTGTTTGTAAAAGTTGTGGTTTTACATATATTCGCGCCTACATGGTTCGGATGTTCATTTCTGTAGACATAGAATTATCCCCCAGTGCTATGGCGTATTGGTAAGTAATTATCTTTACGAGACCGTTCCTTTAATACATTGACTCTTAGATATGACTCCTAACCACCCTAAAAAGATATTTCAGCGCAGATAATGAATTTTTAATGTTTATCTTTTCGCAGATTACCTATTTTTATGGGAGTTTCTATTTTTATTAATTATTACTTTTTATGTTCTCCTTTAACGATGTCTAGGCTAGTGATAAAGGGCCATTGCATGGGTTAAATAATGTTCGCTTCCCTTCGGATTCTGTCTGTCCGGTCGTGTCCATATTTTAATTAACTGCTTTCGTCTAAGGATGTAGTTAGTAAAAGGTTTATCTTTAAAAGGCGAAGCATTTCCTGGAAATAGCCTTAGTACTAAACTAAGAGCGACGGTTTAGTACTTGGATACAGATGCTCATTAGGAATTGCCTATCTATCCTCTTAGAAGTGTTTGCCTCACACGTGAAAGGTATTCCTTCGAGGAATTGGTCTCTTTTCACACGCTTTCTTTGAGGAAGCACAAAACCTTTGAACACACAACAAATTTTTGATATTGTTAATTTCTCGTTTTTCTCTTTTCGATGCTTTCCTCTAATTTTTTTTTTCTTTTCATTATTCTCTACAGGTCTCAAAGAGTCTGAAAAAGAGAGAATCCCACGATTCTTGATGTAAAGGAGAATGCTTCAAATTGTCAACCAAAAAAAATTTTTTTTATCATTATTCGAGAAGCATTTTACTTAATACTAAAAGAAAAGTCCTACAACGCGAAAAGATTTTTAATGTGAAAGCGTATTGATAAACCATCATTCGCTTTATTGTACAATACTTCCTTCGAAAAAATGCGAACCGAGAAGCAACAACAACGAGAAACGAACTGTAAGCAATATTCTAGACAGCGCAGCGAACATACTAGCAATAAAATTTGCAATCGACGCATTGCTTGAAGAATATGCTTAGCTTTAGTTTAGCAAAAATTATGGACAATTATGGTGCGAATTTTTAGCAAAGCCATGTACAATGAAGAAGATTCGAATAATGATTCAGTCACTAGTTGTATTAACAGAGAATGTAGAATATTTTTTTATTTTTTGGCATCACAAAATAATATAAGAATTTACCCCGAGAAAGAATATCAAACACCGTTCCTAAGTTTATTTTTCCTCACGCGAACGTAATTAAAGTTTTAATGCCGAAAAATATTGTATTTATGACTCAATTTACACTTACAAATTAACTTCGGAGGAAATAATATGAATAAACGTTTCATAGCATCTACACAGATCATGCATGACACTTCGTCAGTTTTATCAGTTGATGCATCTCGTTAATAAATGCAGTATTAACTCGAATTAAGTGACCTTCTTTGACTTTATTCATATTGAAGTATTCCGAGTCAAATGTTGAAAATAATGTAATAATCGCTAAGATTTTTTAACAACGCAGGAAGATCGAAATCGAATGTGGAGCTAATAACATCTTTTTCTGCAAGATATATAATACATAAGCAATAGCTAATCCGTTTTAAATAAAATCAGATTAAATAAAAAACTGATAACTTAACATAAATAATCGCTAATAATTTATTTTATAAGGATAATATTTATTTTCTTGAAAGCTTTTTTCGTTTGTTTACCATTTTGAATTTGTAGTCGTAATACCATCCACGCCATTTACATTTGCTTCTAAATTGATTTTATTCAGAATATTATGAAATGTACAGTACAGATCATTACGAAATTATATATTATTACAAAAAAAAAAAAATCTTTGACCGAGCATCTCAATGACGTATCTTAAAAATAAGAGCTCATTAAAGGATATATATAAATAAAAAATTATATTTACCATTTTACCATGTTACTTATAGATTGTTTCAGAGATTCGTTCATAAATTTAAATAATAAATAATTTCGAAGCGAGTGTCTCCTTAAAATAAAAACATCTTACTAATTAATGTAAATATGACTTCAAATTATATTAGGAAAGTATAAAATTTGTAAATTCTTATTAGAATGCGGTGCTATATGGTCAACTTTATTATCAATGTTTTGATGGGTTTTGTCATCCGTCGAAACCTTACAATACGACACACCGAAACTTTCGTGTTTTTGCCTTTAATAAAAATTTGACAAACGACATAAAGTAAAATTACTAAGAATAAGAAAAATTATGCAAAAATCAATTAGATTTATTTTCTTATCAGAATAGTGCAAGTACTTATTTATTATCATATACCTTTTTCTTTCGTGTATAAAAAAAAATATGTCTGGAAAATGTAAAATAAAATGTCTTAAAATTACATTCTTGGGAAAAAAAATCTATATAAGGAATATTAATCATCCAATGTAAAGCAAATTTTAAATAATAAATGTAATGTTTTAAAGAAATATACAGAAATACGTTTATTAAATTAATGTCAAATAAATACAAGAATTTCAACTATACTGCCGGCGCTCTGTATTAGGCCTTTAAGAGAATAGAACAATCTAATTCAAATCCTATTGTATTGATACGAAACGAAAATTTTTTTATAATAAAATTTTCTTCCAATGGCTTTGCTGCGACAATATCAATGTAAATGCGTCTTGGATGACGGATATGCTAAATAATTGATTCCTGATGTAAAAATAGACAGAGAGATCCGAAGTGTTTACAACAGATCGACATAGATCGATCGTCAGGGCCGCGGTAATTAAATCTTGGAGTATTCAAAACCCGAAGGTGACAATAACATAAAATTGACATACAATAGCTGTCTTGTAGTTTGCATAGAAGGTAAACTATACTATACTATTTATGATATTTATTTGTGGTCTACAAATAATTATGCTAAGTATTTTTTTATCATGAATTGGATCTTTTTAGCATAAATTGCAGACGAATTCCGGTCCATGATATCCGATATTTATCCGTCCAGAATCTTTTGAGAATTAATGCCAGAAATCAATTTATATGGTATACAAGAAATACTATCAGATAAATTCTAAACTAAGATTATTTCTAAAATAAATTAGCGATAACCCTGTATAGTAAATGTGTTTAATGACATAATAGCTTTTAATACCTTAATATTTATGGAAGTGCTTTTCATTAATTTTTTAATGAAATTTGACGTAATCTTATTAATCTTATAATGTATATAAAGAGATTAATGAATGGATTCAAAGAAGTAAAGAGACAACTATTTACATTTTAAAAAGTTATTGGACATCAAAAAAAATAATGTTATAAAAACGGCTGAATTCCATGAAATTAATATTTTCAAGAAATGAATAACTAAAATTAAATTTTTATATGAAATATCATATTTAATTATATTTATAGTAGATAATACTGGATGAAATAAAACAAAAGGCAATACGACATGTAAACATCTACTGACGTCGAAAGAAATGTATTGAAACATAAAAATAATATTTATTTATCTATTTCAATTTATTGTACTTGTTGTCTTTACAAATTTCTTGTATAAAATGTCAACACTCGTAACTGTATTCAAGATTATAAGTTTATTCAAAGATATATATAGTTTTTTTACGTTTACATTTATAAACAAAGTGAAGGTTGGCGGAGTTTTAAATTAAGAAATTATGACACAAGATTTGTTCAATAAAATTATAATACATAAAGCTTCATCTTTACTTCCGAAGTCAAATATATTGAATAATATCGTAGCAATTACTGCGGCAAGTTAAAATTTAATCATAATTCATTTTGTTCATTATATTGAGAATTTATTAAGAGTTCACTATAATGAGAGAAATTTATTATAAAAAATTAAATTAGTGAATTAAAAAAAATTCACTATAATATTGATTTGACTTTAATAGATTTTCAAAGAAATAAAAGGAAACGGATTTATTTAAAAAGGTCAACTATTACTGTAAAATTTGTCGATCACTTCTTATTTTCTTATTTTGTTACTGTACATGAAATTTTAAAGAATTTTGCTCATCATGGGAAGCGTTAATTTTAACGTTATAGATTTGGTTCCTCCAAAACATTCCATTAGTAGTACTATTATAAATCGAATATAACATTAGGAACAAATATGTTTATTTTTCAAGAATGTTCAAGGATGTTCTGTATTGGAAATAAATACAGAATTAGATATAAAATTCGTTATGCTTAGGCTTACTATATATATACTTGAAAACAACGTATATTTTGGACTAATCTAAAATATCTAAAATATCAGAGGAATAAATAGTGTCTTAAAATCATTTCGGACAAAAACAAAAAAATAATTATTATTACTAACAAATGTTATGAAACTTCAATACAAATTTTGTTATGATTTTTAAAATATTTACTTATGCATTAAGTGTAAAACCATAATTTGGAGCAATAACGATTGAGATTACATGTAAAATTTTAAATTTTCTTTATTAATAGCATTAAAAGCTTAGTTTGTAATTTTTTTAGTTGTGAACTTTCATCTTTGGTTATTTCTTTACAGAACTCGGATTCCTCATCTTTATAAATTTAGTCAATACAAAAAATTAGAATTCATTAATATATAAATCAATCAATTCATTCTGTATCTGTTCATTTTTTAAAAGAATCAATTTAATGGTAGTAAATTTTATTTTATTGATTTATAAAGAACGGTAAAAAAAAAAAAAAAAAAAAAAAGATAATAATAAGATTATCATTAAGTACCTTAATAAAAATTATATTTGAAAATTATTAAGTGAAATAAATTAAGTGAATATTGAAAATGGCTATAATAATCAAATAAATTAAAAGATTGAAAAAGTTATGAATGATCATTATTGCCGCTCTACGGACATGGATATACATCCCAATCATCTTCGCTACCTTTGAAATGCCAACATTGATCTCCATTATTGGTGAATGGGCCGCGCCATTTATCTTTTTCGGTAGACAAGATCACTCCGAAAACGAGACAATATGAATCTATGCTATCAGGGATTTCTATATGATAACCCTTGTGAGCAACTTCATCTCCTAGGTCGATTTTGAAGTCAGGATCAAATTGGCCACCTTCACATTTAAAGGTGGCAGCAGCAAACGTATGTGTGCCATACCATGCCTTGTTCTGTATCCATACTATATGACCTGCACGTTTTATTCCATCCAACATGTATAAAAATGGTTATTAAAAATTTAAATATTTTGTCATAGTAATTAAAATTTACCTTCAATGTGCGTAAGCATAACTAGGCCAAAGATGATAGCAATGATTATGGAAGATTTCATCACGAATATATTTTTTTTAATAGGAGTGTAAGTTTGTTTGATGAAGTTTTGATTCAAATGTATGTATGTGTTATATATATCAAAAATTATATTCTCACATGCTTTTATGAAAAGATTTTCGAAAATATCATAATTAGATTTATTTTAATATTAATATTTAATATCCGAATATCCTATTACATACTGAAACATATGATGATATATGATGTAATAAATTTTTTTTGCATATTAAATTTAATTATTTTAACTTAATATTTTTAAAGAAAAAATAATTATTGATCAAAATTTGGGAGCCACGTTGTGGACTAACATATGTATAGTCTCTCATCATTTTTGAAATTAAAAGCTTATATTAAAAAGCTATGGAAATATTTTTTTGTAATTTGAGAAAATTTTGATTTTTACGAACACTCTCTACACCTTTACGTTTTTCATATTTTATATATCATATTGAAGTTTTCGATTAAATTATATTTCAATCTGATATATATATTTTTAATAAACTTTATATCATAAAATCGGTAAGATTATATAACAAATATAAATATTAAAACGTAACTTTGTAAAAGTAGTATTAAATTTATCTTTGCCAAATTTGGTATCAATTCATCGCACAAATAAAGCTAATTATCTAATTTTATGCAGTATATCTATAGTTTTATTGGTTATAAAATTATATAAATCTTCGAAATACGAAATAATAAATAGTTAGTATGAAACTGCGAAAATGATCTACACAAAAAAATATGTTTGATCTGATTAGACCCCAGAGCCACATGTTGAATTCGGCGACGGCTAGCCAATCAATTCATTTTAACAATAATATAAAAAAGCCATCCAAATAATTATTCAGTGAAATAGATTGTGACTTTAAACATGTATAAAGGAGTGTTGAAAAGATCTGCACTATCTACAACTTGTGAATCTAAATCATAATAATATATCTTCGATCCAATGATTCGATTTTCGATTTTGCGGACAAAAAAAAAAAAAAAAAAAATGATTTTCTTATTCTTCGCAAGTAATTCAGATGGAATTCATTCCTTTTATGGGTGTAGAAATTTTTTTTTTTTTAATATTTAAAGTAACCAGTTCAATTAATTTTAGTCAAAAATTAATGAAAAGAATACATTTTATATTTAAGGACTAATTTGCAAATATTGTAAAGATTTTATGTATTGAAACTTTTATTTATAAAATATTATTTACATTAAATAAACATACATTCTTTTCAGAATTTATTTCAAAATAACATAAAAACTTTAATTTAGGCAGCAATTATAATATATACAGCATCGATCGATTTTTTTAGTTAATCATACCCCCCTTTAGTAGTTTTTTTTTGATTTTAAATAAAAAATTTAGTTGAGTTTAAATTACAGTAAATAGTATACATTTACATTTAATTTTTTAAATAAGCAACTACGAATTTTTTTTATATTTAAATAAATATACACTTTATTTTAATAAAACTTCTTGTAAATAACATTATTATATAATTAAACAAAATATTCAAGTTAAAACTTTGAAATCACAACTTTTTTTCAAGAAATCACAGAAATCCACAAAAAAAAACACATGGAAGAAAATTAGGAATCACAGTTGTTACCATGATAAAAGTTATTTTTTTGCTCATGAAAAGTAACAATATAAGTGAAGATTTAAGATGAAGTATAGCGTGTATAGTGTATTTGTATTATGATGCTTTTCTTTAAAAAAAAATATTTAATGTATTGAAAATTAGCGCTTCTACAATTATAAAAATAATGAAATATTTCAAAGTGGAGATGTGTTATAAACCATTGAAACGACAGCTGGTAGAAGAAAGATTTTAATGGATCTAATATGAATGTAATATTTTTAAATTTATTTAATTATTATATATAATGTTATATATAGTATTTATTAAAACAATTATTTAGATGAGATTGTTAGAGAATTGATTAGGAGGATAAACAAAAAACATGTTCCTAAAAATAAAAATAAAATTATAATTAAATTATTATTTATAATAATGAAATGTTAAGCAAACATTACATGAATATCATCATGAAATATTATGCAAAATGAAATCTTATAATTAATACAGTCCAAATTTCATTTGTTTGATAATAATATCCCATTTTTCTGCACTGTTTTTACCCTCTTTTCTAATTACTAGATTTCCATATATTCATCTTTAAATTCTTCAATTTCAGAATTATTTACTTCAACTTTAATATCCAATTCCACATTATCTTCTATTTTTGATATTCAAATTTTATCTTTCTCTTCATTATTTATAAGATTTTTCTCAAATTCTACTTTATTAATTTTTTCTACTTCATTATTTTATTATTATCATAGTTCTTATTATCATTATCATTTTCATCAATATTATTATTATTATTATTAATTATTTCTTTAGAATTTATAGCTAAAGAATTAGATCTAGTTAACCTTGATGCTTGATTTGATTTAGTATTAAATTTGTAATTTTGGATAGATTTATTACAAGATCTTTGTAATTTGAGATTTTTTAAGTTAACATTAAATTTTTAAGAAAATTCATTCCATATAAATAAATTCTATTAACTTTACTTAATCCAGATAGTTATAACTCATTATAAATCTTGTGTTTATACTTAAATTATACACTCTGGAGTAGCTTTTTCTTTTTTTATATTTTTTTTCTCAAATCATATTAACAGCGTTTAAAAGATAATAATTCATTATAATTCAACATATTTGCTATAAAAAATAAGTGCTAATTTGTTATTTACTTGAGTAAGGTACTTTTTCCTTAGAAATTATGACAAATATAATGAATACAATATAAAAATTTTTGAAATTAATCTTATTTGTATTACAAGATCTTATATTATACAATAATCAGTTAATCATTAATCACATAATTTTTGTGTTTTGTATTTGTATTTTTATATTTTATCAATCATCACATAATAACTAATTTTAATAATTTTGAAAATTCTAACAAAAAGTGTTTTATTTGCATCATAATTAATTTAAAAATAATTTAGTCATATAGTGTAATTTGTGCATGCTAATTATTTTGGCAATATATTATGCAAAAAAAATATTTATACATTTATTAAAGCAATATATACACATTTCTTTAATAAATTATTCATAATATCAAAATTTCGCTTTAAAATAGTTTTCTTTTTTCTTTACATAATGCATAGATTTTTATTATAATTCTTAAACGTAAATAAGAAACTCTTAACCAATATAAAATGCAATCTGGTGATGAACTTATTCATCTGTAAACGTATTTACAGCTATAAAATCATTCTTACAATACTATTTTGAAACAATATCTTTGAAAAATTCAAGTATTTTAGATAAGGATTTATGATTATTACTTGAAATATTTTTTGAAGTACGATCAATAGCATTTCTAACCATACTAACAGTCAAAATTTACTATATTGATATTTATCTTCAATTCTATAATTGAGCAAATATTATAATTATTACCTATTCAATGCAAATTAATACAAAAGTATAAATGTCAAAAAAAGCATCAAAAATTAAAATTTTAGAGGCAAGTGAAAAAAAAATAACCAAACAAAAAGGTATTATATATATATATACAATTTGAAAGAACTTTTACTCAAACAAATAAAAATTTTTACTTACTTATAAAATCAATAATCCTTCATAATTATAATCATAGTTATTAATTAGAAAATTTCATCTTTCATTGATAATTTGTAAGTAAATACAAGTATTTTAGTCATTGAAATTTTAAAACATTCTATAATAACATAAAAGTAAATATAAAAATTATAAGGTAAGAAATAATGGAGAATTAAAATAAGTGAGAAAGAAGTAAAATTAGATAATATTAATAATCTATGTATTAATAATTTCTGACTTATATTATATTTTTCATTATTGTAAAAGATAGTAAATACGCAAATAATTTTATCTAAATAAAATTCATAATAATGAACTGTTAATAATATTATGATTATATGATTTTTGCTAGAATAGGATAATAATAGGATAAACATGTTTTTTTCTAATAGGCTTTTTAAATTTTGGATTCAATTATAATATTAATTGATATTTTTTAATATTTATTTAATATATGATTTTTTGAATTTGAAATTTGTAGTTATTTTTTAGGAATTTATATGCCTATGCTTTAGTAGTAAAATACTATAAACTATTTAAATAAATTTCTAATCTCATAATGATTTATGTTTTGAATAGTCCTAACATCTTCTCTTTTCTTTTTAAATAAAAAATCAATAAAAAAGTAAATATTGATAAAGATAAATTCAGCAAAGCTGAAGATGAAATTGCAGCAATAATTTATCATATTATTACTAAAGAAAGTGTCAATGCAAATATGAATATTTTTATTAGATACCATTAATTTTATTAGAGAAGAAAATATTTAATTATTACCAAAGATACAAGATGTTGAATTAGAAAATGAAAACTATGAATATATAACGATAATTGAAGCTGAATAAAATAAATTATGTGGTAAGCATTTCATAATACTTATAAGCTGTTGAATTAATATGTAGGGCTTATTAAATATTAGAAAAGAAATTTAAGCATCAATTTGTCAAAATGTAATTTTTTTAAATTTTTATTGCTTAATTTTGATAATAGAAGAAACTTGATAATATAGCTGAGTTTTTTAATTTGTACTTGATTTTATTGTAAATTAATAGTTTAAGCCTAACAATAAATTAGCTCATTTTAAATAAGCTTGAAAATTTTCTCAGTTTATGATTAGTCTTACATGATTATTGTTTATAAAGATTGAAAATAACCTAAAAATTTAACTGGCTATTTAACTAATTAAAATTTAACTAATTCCAATTTCTAGTTATTTAATACCATCCTGCAATTGCAGAACAA